AAAAAAAAAAAAAAAAAAAACTAAGAAATTCAAATTCACAATTTGTAAATGTAATTTTGAATACGAAATTTACGAAAAAGTTCTCTCATATGTAAAGTGCAGTATTAATATAATACTAAACGCTTTAAATACTAACTGAAATATAATAACAACTTTTTTTAATTAATATAGATAAATTACACTACAAGCTTTATTTCGTTAGAAACAATTAGAAATTATATTATGAAAATTAGAACTGACAATAATAAAGAGCATATTAACGAATAAAAAGGTTCAAAAATAAAATCCCTCTATATTTAATAATTGAACAGCATCAACAAATAAAAAAAAATAAATAAATAAATCTGATAAAAAAATTATACACATTTGTTCAATACTAATTCATGTAAAATACGATTAACTAGAGTACAACCGTGTAACATACTAAAATCTAATGCGAGATAACCCAAACATTGCTCACCTTAATCTCACTTATACAGTAACTAAAATTTGATCCAGATAAATTGTAGTACACATACCAAATCTAGTTATGCTTCACCTGCGTTTTTAGTTAATAAAAAGGAGAAAGGCTCATATCGATTAGTCGTATCATATAAAGATTTAAATAAAATGGTAGAACCTAATAATTATTCTCTTTTAAGAACCGCAGATCATATTTCGAACTTTATAGGAATCAAATTACTTTGGTAATTTTGATTTAAATTCTAGTTATATATATATTTTTTTTTTTTTCTCAATTTTCAGTAAGAAAACATAATGATTATAAATTAACATTTACACGTCTACCACAAGGTTTTCGTAATTCTAGCGCTATCTTTCAAAGAGAATTAAATAAAGCATTTTCTCAATATCTATTTAAATCAGTAGTTATATTTATTGACGATTTAGCCACATTTGGAAAAGATTTTGAATCCGCGATATTTAATTTAGAAAACGTATTTGAAATATTAGATATATATTCATTTTCTTTAAAAATATCAAAATGTAATTTACTTGCTGATAATATAGAACTTCTTGAGCACGGCATATCTGAAAAGGGTATTACACCGTTAACACGAAACATTAAAACTGTTACTGAATTCGAAACACCCAAAACAACTAAACAAGTTAGAAGTTTTATAGGCATGTGTAGTTATTATCGTAGACTAATAAAAGATTTCGCTAAAATAGTATATCCATTACAAAATTTAATAAAGAAAGACGCATCTAAAATAGTGTCATGGAACTCTGACCATGAAAAAGCGTTTCAACAACTAAAATCAATACTGACCTCGAAGCCATTGCTGACACACTTCTCATATGAAAGGGAAACGTATTTAACTGTTGATGCCAGTTTAATGGGCTTGGGAGCGGTATTAGAACAGCCAAACGAAAACAATGTTATGAGACCGATTGGATATGCTTCTCGTAAATTACTCAATTCGGAAAAAACCTATTCTAGCACTACCCTTGAATTATTGGGATTAGTATTTGGTATTACATATTTTAGAGAATTTTTGATGAATAGAAAATTTATCGTCTTTTCCGACAACATCAGTTTGCTATACTATAAAAATTTAAAGATCCCTTCGGCAAGAATTGCTCGTTTAACTTTAAAAATTTTAGATTATGATTTCATGATTCAACATAAAATTTTCATTGAGAACAGAGTAGCTAACTGTTTCTCAAAGTAAGGTACCATGAATATCATAAATGCAGTAATATTTTATTATTGCCTATAATCCGACCAAAACGAAAGCGCAGTGCACTATAATCCAATACGCGTAATACACAGGTATATACCAATGAAAACGCAAATGCACTTAATGTTGACATGTCAATAAAAAATAGTAAATATCACGATAAAACATTTAATCATTTAGGCCAAAATGATAAATATGATCTTAACGTAAGCTTACAAAAGAAAAACATATTTTTAGAGAGCTCTCATATAAAAAATATTGATAAACCCCAAGAATTAAATTGCGCGAATAATGAATATAATATAAAAAATATTGATAAACCCCAAGAATTAAATTGCGCGAATAATGAATATAATATAAAAAGTATTGATAAACCCCAAGAATTAAATTGCGCGAATAATGAATTTAGAATAAAAAATGATTATATATATAAAGGGGACGCCCAATTAAATAATGAAAATATACCCCAAGATATACCCCAAAGTATAATGAGCGCGCAAATTTATAAAAATAATGAAATTGATAAAGAAAATAGCGCGCAATATATTAAATATAATAATACGGTACCGTGTCATCATGAATATAATAATAATGGGGTAAAATATAAAAATAATGCGCGAAATGATAAAAATTATGAATATGAATATAATGGGGTAAAAAATGAAAATACAGCGCAAAATAATAAAAATATTGAATATAATGATTATGGGGTAATTTATAAGAACAGCGCGCATAATATTGAATATGATGAATTAAATAGTAATGGGGTACTTAATAAATATAACGCGCCAAATAATAATAATAATAAACATGGGGTAGATTACAAAAATAACGCGCTTAATACTAACAGAATTGATATGGAACATCGTAATATATATCACAATCGTAACGACGATCGAATTTGTAAGTGGGACAGCGATCATAAACTTAATAGATTCGGGTCGAATAGCGATTCACACAATAATAATTTTATTAAACCAATTGTTCAATTNGCGATCATAAACTTAATAGATTCGGGTCGAATAGCGATTCACACAATAATAATTATATTAAACCAATTGTTCAATTAACTTCTAAAGATGACGATACATATAATAATAATTATTATAGAATTGCTTACAATTGTGATGATATCCATGATATAACTTTATTAAATATTATAGATTCAGAACCATCAAATATAAATATATATGAATATAATTTAAAGTTAAAAGGAAGATCTATTTTGCTAAAAAAAAAAAAAAAATTAATATTATTACATGAATATTTAAAATATTTTGAAATATATTTCAATAAAAATCAATATTTAATTTACTAATCAATTTAAATTGTCAATTAAAAATAAATAAGGAGTATATNCTAACGATGTAGAAAATTCATCAAATGTTTTAGCTGAAGTAAAAATTTGGCATCATCAAGTTTTTAAATTACGTGTCGAAACCAATTTAAAAATGGTTACTGCTATTGAAGTAATTAGTAATTGCAATATTGATCTATATCCCAACGTGTATAAATTGTTGAAAATTCTTTTAACGTTACCTGTAACTTCATGTGAAGCTGAAAGGTCATTTTCAACTCTAAAAAGAGTTAAAACTTATCTCAGAAACTCTATATCAGCATTTAGACTTAATGGATTAGCAGCTTTGAATATTCACCGCGAAATTACAGTTACTACAGATGAAATTATTAAACAGTTAAGTGAGAAAAAAAGACGATTAGATTTTGTAATATAAAATGTTTTTAAAAATTGATTGTAATTTTTATTAAAGTAGTTATATTTATAATTATTTATAAATATGTAACAAAACATAATATTTTTAAGCTCTGAAACAAACATTTGAAAATATATATATATTTTTTAAGATTTATATCTGTGATATTATGCATTTTTAGTTTATCAAAAACTCGATACCAGAGACGTATTTTGAAATATGTTACGGGGTAAGGTATTTTAATGAGGCAGACACCCCCCTCAAAATAATCCTAGTTGCGCTACTGGTGCGATGTGTGCATATGCCACGGGCCCTCGGCTTGGGGGGGCCTTTATTGCTTAACATTAAAAATATAAATAAATACAGATATTTACAAAAAAGTAAAAAAATTTGTTTTCATTTTCAAATCGTTCTTATTTTCTCATTCTGATATCAGTATATTTTTGTTATAAAATATATAGATATTGTTTTTCTGTGATGTACTGTACTACTGCAGCGACGACTAAACGTTATTTATAGCAATCTGTTTTCCGTGGTTTTTTGTTATCGCCTTTTCGATGATGGGCCGTCGTTTTATAGTCATTATCTTCAAATGTCCACAACATATATTATAGACGTCTAGACTTAGATTTACACGATTAAATACTATCACTACTTAAACGTTATACATCGATTTATTATTTTGTGATACTTAAAGTCGTCGTTCAGAGTTTATTCAAATTATTTACAAAATAATCAATAAAATATTATACTTTATTAATTATTATTATAATGGCATCAAAATCAGCAAGTGGTGCTGCGAAACGTAAATTAAAAAAACAAAAAGAAGAATCTGTTAAGAGGATGCCGAAAATTGATATTTTTTAAACAAAACCAAGATAAAACAGAAAAAGAGCAAGATATTGATAACTCAGGTATTTTGTTAAATTCAATCAATACTGCTAGTAATTCTGTCTTAGAGTCAACTGCTATATCTGGTATTGATATTTTCAATGCTAAAAATGTTGAACCTAATATTTTCAACAGTTTAATCTGTGAACGTTTTCCTACCGACAAAGTTCATTTTAAAGAACCGCTAAACCATCAAGAAAAACGTTTTATAATTTCTCAAGGCCCTTGTCAGCTTAAGGGTCCATTTCCAACTGACAATGATAATTCTAGATCGTTTTCAGAAAATTTTACTATTTTACAAATCAGGCTAATATTATTTTAAAACGTACATGGCTATGTTACTCATATTATTATTACACAAATTATTTAAGCAACACTATTCAAAATGAGATAATTACTTTACTTGCAAATACGATATTAGAATAAATTATTTCAAGTATTAACCAATCGCCATTTTTTTCTGTCATAATGGATACCACTCAAGATATAAGTAAGATTGATCAACTAAGTCAAGTTATTCGATACGTTTCGGTTGTTTTAGACGCTAATGGGTATCCTAAAACATTGCAAATAAATGAATCATTCATTGGCTTTGTAGAAATTTTAGATCAATCAGGTGTTGGTTTAGAGGAATCTATTATTAATTGTATCACAAAAAATAATTTAAATTTGTCTAAACTTCGTGGTCAAGGGTATGATGGGGCTGCCAACATGAGTGGTGTATATTCAGGTGTCCAGGCTAGGTTAAAATCTAAACAAAAATTGGCAACATATATCCATTGTGCTTCTCATAATTTGAACTTAGTTTTAAACGATGCAATGAATTCTTCAACGGAAGTAAAAAATTTCTTTGGACTCGTGGAAAAAATTTATATATTTTTTTCAAATAGTATTAAACATTGGCAATTACTTTTATCTTCAGAGTCATCAGATATTTCATTTACATTAAAAAGATTATGTACCACTCGTTGGTCATCAAGGTATGATTCTTTATTAGCTATTCGACATCGTTATGTTGATATTTTAAAATGTTTGTCGCAAATAATTATTCGAAGCAAAAATAAAGATGAAATATTTGAAGCAAATTATTTAAAAGTTCATATGGAAGATTTTCAATTTATATTCAGTGTAGTTTTCATTGGCAAAATTCTGGAAACTGTAAATGTTGTATCAAAAGTTCTTCAGTCTCCTAAACAAGAACTGAGCACAGCAGTTTCCTTGCTTAATTCTGCGTTGAGAAATCTTCAAGAATACAGGTCACAATACACTGATTTTTTTGAAATAGCAGTAGAAATGGCAAAAATATGGGGTGTACCACAAAAATTTCAAGAAAAAAGAAACCGAAGAGTAAAACGATTTTATGACGAAATCCTCCAAGATTATTGCTTACTTCAGCAGAAGAACATTTTAAAGTTAATATATTTTATTTAACATTAGATAATGCAATAATGCAACTAAAGGAACGTTTTACCAGTTTAAATAACGTATTCAAAATATTTGAAGTTATTCAACCGAATTCATTGATTAATTTAACAGACGAACAAATTTATAACTCCGCTAATAAATTGGTAAAATATTATGATTCTGATTTATCTAATGCTCTTGCTGGTCAAATTTTATCGTTCAGATCTTGTTTTAAAGAAGAAATTACAAAAAGAACCTCGGTAAAAGAAATTACCGAATTACTTGTTATAGAGAATCCTACATTAGCAACAACATTTTCTGAAATATGTACAGCGTGCATGTTATTTTTGACACTTCCCTGTAACAGTTGCTACAGCGGAACAATCATTTTCGAAATTAAAACTTATCAAAAATTATTTACGTAGCACAATGTGTGAAGAAAGATTAAGTGGACTTGGAATTCTGTCTATTGAAAACGACCGAGCTCGTCAGTTAAACTTAAAAGAAATAATTAATAACTTTGCGGAAAAAAAAGCACGCAAACGAAATTTTCACTGATTTTTTATATTCTTATCATTATTATTTGTTATATTATAATATATTATTATAAACCAACAACAGTGTAAACATATAATACTACCTAAGAAATAAAAACCATTATACTATATATAAATAAATTTCATATCCAATACAGGTAATACACATTTACTTACATTCAATACCTCAAATAACTCTTTGCACAAACATAAGAACTCTGGGAAAAATCACAAGGTATAAATCTCTTATTCATTTCAAAATAATAATAATAATAATAAATAATAGCAATATTTACACACTTGTAAAAAAATTAAATTCCTTACCTTATTCACCAAATACATTGTTTGTTTAAAAAGCTTCCATAATTAATATTAAACTAATTATAATACTATATAACTTTAGATTCCTTTTGTTTATTCGCATTCATCTTATATATTTTATACTCAAATGTCTCAAATTAAATTAAATCTACTAGACCTAACAGTGGCAGATCTAAAAAACTTCGGTAAAATTCTCATAGGAGGAGCTACAAAGGAAATTTTGGACTGTGGAAATAAAATTAAAATAATAAAGGGTAAACCAGCAATAATTTCCACACAAATAGACACAGTACAATTATCTAGAATTCGATTCTTAAAAACTCAAATTATTAAAAATAGCTCTAAAAATAAATCAAAAATAATAATTAAACAACTAGAGAAAAATATTAATAAATATGATAGAGCAATCAATAGATTCACTATACAGAATCACTTTAATAACACAGTTCCCAAACATGCAATAATACTATGGGACTGTACAGAAGCTCATTATTTTATTCTTAAAATGCTTATGCCTAATATAACTATATTTAATTTTAAATGTACAAATATGTTTAATAAAGAAACTTTTCAATTAATTCTAGAAGTCTACAATAAAAGTAGCACAAAAATAATAGCCACACATAGATTTGTAGGAGAACCTACTACTAAAGAAAAATTAACTTTAAAAGAAACTCATGATATTTTTTGTATTAGCCGTCATTCAGGAAAAAAACACTATCCTAGGAACAATGTCAATTTAATGAATTGTTTACTTTACAGCTGGATCAATTTATACGACTATACTGCTTTTATGAAAACTTTGACACAATCGGTTGTGTAATAAAATCACTCATAAAATGCATTTATTCTATTCTATGATTTTCCACTATATGCTTTATTCTTTTCTATACCTTCTATCTACATTTAACTTGCTATTAATGCTTAATAATTTTTAACATTACCATATTTATAATGTTAGATCCACTGGTGTAATTTAGCAGTTATACTGTTAAACATAATCACATTGCTGCATATATAGAAAGATGGATCGTTATTGTAACAAGCCATATACGGTAAAGACTTTTTGGTGGTGGGCAACAAAAATATGTAGTTTAAAAGAGCTATGTCCAAAATGTACCATAAGGGAGCGTAACAGAAAGTTATCTCATAGAAATTACCACCTTACGAAATATTGGTACGCTTGGACAATTGATGTAAAAAATTATTTTAAGAATAAACCCATAGGGTTTATCGCTGAAGATATAGCATTTTATGCCAAATTTGACATAGAATTAGATATGAGAAATTATTATAAAACACACATTTTTGCCAAATACTCCATCCGATGAAGGCCATCGTGAATGGGAGAGCGGATTGAGAGACAAAAGTATTACCAATGAGCCGGATATACCGTATAAATATCCTATTCCAAAGAAATCTTATTGGAATCACTTGATTTTCATAATTTTAACTAATAAAGTAAATATAAATAAATCGGATTTAACCTCTTTGCATAAATACGATTTAAATACTGATAACAGAAATAAATTAAATTATAATGAGCAACATTCTATGTACGATGGTTGGTATTATGATATGGCTGCAGACTATAAAGAAGTTATTTCAAAATATGATTTACTTATGGGGGAATCAGTCATATCTAATACAGCTATCGTCTTCGATTATTGTTTCAATATGATGGATTGCATTAACTATATAAGGTCCATTTTCACCTCCACTATGTCTCTCTTCAGCTCTGGTGAGTACACGTATTCTGAGGAAGAAGAATGGTAAATGCGTGTACTTGTCTCCATTTTAACGGTTGGAGTGAGTCTGCATATTTATATAGCTTTCTATTGCTTTACTGACTGTATGTCAATCTTCCTTTTTCTTTTATAAATTGGAGTTTCATATTCTTATCAATTTATTCTTTTCACATAATTTTCTCTTCATCAACTCTTGAATTAAGTGATATAGCTAAGAATATATCAATATTTAGAACATATCTTGCAACATAACCATTACTTTTATCGCTAGATAATGCTAATTTTTATTGTGTAATAGTGTGTCATATTTTAGAGTAATTTTTAATATTTATTATTAACTAATAACAAAATATCTATTTAAAAAAAAAAAAAAATATAAAAAAATTTTATAAAAAAAAAAGAAAACTATGTATTTTATTATTATATCTATTCTATCACTTATAATTATTCTCTTAACATAATCTAATTTATTCATTACTAATATCTTTATATTATTCTTAATAAGTAAAATTTTTCTATGTGTGTAAGTGTGTTTATACATGTTAATTTCTTATATATTAATAATAATAATTTATATAATTTATTATGTAACAAAATACAAATATTATTAACAATTAATCACCACACAATGATAGCTTTATTGAATAATACATGTATCTTGCACCTTTTAACACAACTTAATGTAATTTTTAGCACTTGCACATTTTATTATAACGCACTAATTATTTTAAATTATAATTGCACAATACTTATTAGATTAGTTAATATATTCACTACTTTATGTATTAATATTAGTTAAAATAAAAGTTAACTTGTTCATTTATAAAAAATTTAATAAATATAACAAAACAAAAATCTTCAATCAACATTATACTGAAAGTCAACCCTATCATTCAATAACCAGAGTATTAGCATAGTAACTTAAATATTTCGTACATTATTTTATCTGCAATCAAAAATGTTTTACCAAAGAAATACAAAATCCTGTAGCCAGCAATTAAGAAACAATAAATATGCCAAATCTAATCAAACATTTATCAACAAATTAATATCAAAACATAACTATTATAAGAGATATTAAAATATTTATCTCAGTAAAAGAAAAACTAAACACATAGTCTAAAAATGAAAAAGATTCTGCTACACGTGGTATAGCACATACAGATGTATTCGTTAATCAAAAGGAATGATATTCGGTCAACCAATCAGAACATGCGGAATATGAAAAATTTTAATAGTGTACGATAATGTTTGAGTGAACATGTGAATACTCGAGAAAATCATACAAAAAAAAAATAATGATGAAGACTTCGAACAAAAACAAAAATATATCACCCATACTGTTATGCTTATATAATATTATTATCACTTCTATTTTTCCACCTCAAGCGTTCACACTTAAGTGCTCAGCTTCACTCTTTTACTTTGCGGCCTTTTTATCTGTCTTACTTTGTGACTTGGTGTCGTTATTCTTAATATAATTTAATAGTTTAACTTAATGTAAATTCATGTTTGAATGACTATCAATTATAATACATGCTTATATAATAAACTGTTTTCCATTTATTTAACATCTAATAAATCTAATTCACCTTCTCCTCTCTACACCGTAAAACAAGATTTGCAGTCAAGATATATCAGGTAAGAGTAGTTTAACACACTAACTACAATTAATAGTAATAACTAATAAAAGACACTTTAATTAATAATTTAATATTTTCTTCTTTCGCTTAAATATATCTTCGTTCTAACTTCATATATCTAACGATCCCTTCTATTAATTTATTTATATTATCTATCGGTATCTAACTTCACTCACTCTCTCCTCACTCTCTTTTTATTGGTTATTACAAAATGACACTTAGAGATTTTAAAGTGAATTTTGTTTTGGTGAATCTTTTAATTTAATTTAATTTGTTCATTAAATAATAATATTTTATTTTTTATTTTACCATGGAAATAAATGTCAATTAATATTTTAAAATAAAACATTTTTTTTTATATATATAATAAAACCGAATCAACTCTAATTTTCTCAGTTAATGATAAATATTTATTATATGACTAAGTGTATTGCAACTCTATACTTATTGGGTAGCTAATCTTTTGTGGTTTAATGTCTTTGTTCTAACGAACATCGCGCCGGCAGACAGAGTAAAGGTTGCAATTAAAGATTTTTAAAGTTAGGTGTGTTAGGTTAGAATATATTTGTAAGCCTATGTGTATTGGGTAGCTAATCTTCTGTGGTTTAATGTCTTTGTTTTAACGAACATCGCGCCGGCAGACAGCACAGAGAAACTTACAAGTATATGTTTTTAGTGTTTAATTTTTGTCTTGGTGATTATTGTGCCGCATCCTTTCAAGGTGCTTTATTTTAGCACCGGGACACATTGGGCCACCACAATTCCGCCTTGACAAATCTTTTACATAGATATAAATATTTCTGAATCTTGTTTTGGCCAGGCCAGAGGAAAATTTAAGAAATATTGGTGTCGATCTCTCAATAAAATATAATCTCTCAAACAATATACTCATTCTACAAAGTCAACTAAAGATATATTATTTGATTATAATTATAAAAATATAGAGTGTATAGAATCTCTTGCATATAATAATACAGTCATAGATTTTGTGTAACGGTTTCGTATTATTTATAATTAAACGCTTTATTCTCAAACGGTCATATTTACTGTCGAAATCAAAGTGTACAACGTGTGAAATACAGTGTAAACTCATAATCAACATTGGATTGTCTAAAATAAGCATCACACTACGTGGGATACAAGGTAAGTACAAATTTAAATTCCCGCTTTCAAATTATAAATACTCTATTGCGTAATAAACCATTAAGATAGGTAATAAAGTTTGGTAGGATAATTGACTTCATTTATTCAATATTGTTCAACCCCGAGATCAGTTCATTATTTTTGTCACAACGTTTGTGTGCATTTTT